ATATAACGCGTCATTTTTCTTATATGACACGTTAAAAACGTAATTTAAAATACATTATGCTAATAGGTACAAATATAGGTATATAATAGATACAAGCGAGTGAGTAGATTTTGGTTTATCAACCGATATATGCTTTCCCTTGGGAAATGGAAAAAAAAATGCAACCTCACATTCACTCGTTTCTTCCAATAATACGCGATGATCATGATTACTCGCATTAAGTATTTAATATCTAAGCCCTCTTATTACAATTTTTTTTTTCATATTCTATTCAATTCTTATGCATTCATGCATTCGATTTCAGATATTCAACAATTCGATAATTCAATCCAAGTTGCTTGCGTTAAAAGGGTTTCGGAAAAGGCCATCGGAAGAAATTTGTAAAAATACAAATATAACACCACTACAATAATTATAAAATAATTAGCGTAAGATTATTTATATCTTTGACTGTTATTAGACAATCAACTTTATATACGTAAATACATAAATAGATAATTTAATTCACGATAAAAACATTAATCTATTTTATAAGAACTGATAACGGTGATTTAAAGAGAAAATATTAATATTTATTTAGATGATAATTTTTCCATTTCAAAGATAAAGTTTTAAGGATATTTTTTTACACATTTTCTCGGTACGTCAATTGATGGTTTCACTTATTGGACGGAAAACTTATTTTCATTATGTTTCTTATTCAAAATATACAATTTTTCATAATAAACTTGTTAAAATAAGTAGTTTATAATCGAGCACCAATGCACGTCCATCCTAGTTTTCTCTAAATGTCAATTATCTCATTGCTAGTATTCGATAAAAATGTTAAATCGCTTAAATCGCTTCTGTTACAATTGCAGAATTTACTATACTCATAAGTTGGGATTTCTAAAATCATTAATCAGTCTAATCTTCGATTAAAAATGAACAATACATTATATAGAATATCGATCTAGTAGTGAAATATTAATAAGCGAATAAACAATATGACTTATAAATATAAATTTAAATCATCTAATATTATTTATGTAAATTTCATAAACAATATAATTTCCGCGTTAAAACGGGACTTTAACGGTAAAAATTATTTTCGCAGACAAGATTTTAACAAGTTAATCAGACAAGTTAAGCATTATAATGCAGAATTTAAGTATCTTGATGAGTAATATAAATTAAAAATTCCTGAACGAAGGGTTACAAGTCACTCACGAAATCAGTCGAACGCCCTGCTACGAAACTGATTTTGATTTGTGTGAAATCAGTGAGTCATCTAAAATCATTTCGATCGACTGACTAAATAAAAACGAAATAGTAACGCTAATGAAATCGATCAAACCTGTCAAATGATTTTGTAGAAGTTTTTGAATTCTTCAAAAGATATATCAAATGGACAAGGTATATACGCTACGCAAAGAATACCCGTGCTTGCATGCGCACACACACATATACACACGTCTACGTATTATGTGTGTAAATAAAAGTTACGTAATGTTTAGAGACTTTTCAAAGTCGTAAAAATATCAAATTTTCCGAGTAGAAGAGCAGTGCATTAATTCATGAAATGAAGTAAATTATCTCAATTTTGAAATTATAAACGAAGAATCGCGGAAAGTAATTTTGTATGTTGTTACGCGAAAAACCAATTTAAGTTAAGGTAATTGCGCGCGCGCACACACACGTATAGAACGTAGAAATTTACATCCCTTATTATCCCTTACAATATTATTCCGTAATTAAAAACAAAAAAAGAGAAAAAAAAAACAAGAAAATCGTTGTCGCACAAGACCGAAAAACATACGGGGAATTGGCGCCTCGCTTTACCGAGACAGAATCCAGCGGCGGCTAAGTACAATAACCACATGCAAGTAATTTGTCGGAGACAATGAGTACTGCGATGTAAATAACAGCTCTATCTCGGCAAATGTGTTTTCACTGCTGACGTAACTAATGAATTTGCGTCATTTATCATTTTAATAAACAAAATGAAGTGCTCTTACTGTTTGACGAGTTGAAACCGGCGAGCTGATCCCTGGCGCCGACGCCGTTGAGCGGTGGCTCGGGGGGCGGCAAAGCCGGTGGCGGGGGTATGTGGGCCCTCGAGGCCCTCGGCGAGCCGGCGCTCGCCAGTTTGCCTGCCTGCAGCATTTTCAGGTCCTCGACGAGATCCTGGGCCGAGACACTTTGGCACTGGAATATATGCATC